TTGAAATGGGAAAGGAAGAAGTAAAACTGTCATTATTTCCAAATGTCATGTTGCTGTATAGAGGGAAACCTAAAGATTACACAAAAAACTACTAATCAAAAAAATAAGTGCAGCCCTGGATGGTGCAGCTCAGTGGATTTAGTACTGGTCTGAGAATCAAAGGATAGCTGGTTTGATTCCCAGCCTGGGCACATGCCTGGGTTGCAGGCCAGGTCCCCAGTAGGGAGTGTGTGAGAGGCAACCACACATTGATGTTTCTCTCCCTCTCTTTCTCCCTTCCTTTTTTTCCCTGTATATCTTTTTTTTCCCATTTCTATATCTTTGGTGAGGTGTCTGCTTAGGTATTTCTCCCACTTTCTAATAAGGTTGTTTCTTTTCTTATTGTTGAGTTTTAAGTGCTCTCCATACATTTTGGAGAATAGTACTTTATCAGATGTTTCTTTTTCAAATATTTTATCCAAGCTTGTGACTGTATTCTAATTATCTTGGTTATGTCTTTTTTTCACGTATTATGTCTTTAAAGCTTTGTTAAAAGGCATCATCATACCCAAAGTCATCTAGGCTTTCTTCTATTTTATCTTCAATGAGTTTTATTGTTTTGCTTTTTTACACTTAGGCCTATGATTAATTTAGAGCTCCTTTAGTGAAGCAGCAGGTCAATTTTGTCTCTAGGTCTTTTTTTTTTTTCCTTTTGGATGTCTGGTTGTTCCAGGATCTTTGTTGAAGAGACTCTCTTTGCTCTATTGTATTACCTTTATTTCTTTGTCAAAGATAAAGTTGGCTATATAAATAGGGCTAGTTTGGGCTTTCTAATTCTGTTCCATGGATCCATTTGTCTGTTCTTTCTGTCTTAATCTCTGTTTTATTCATTTATGTAGCTTTTCTGTGAGTTATTTACATTAGCTTTGCATGTCTATTTTCTTGACAATTTTCCAAGTTTACTTAGATTTATTCACCAATTTTAGCATTGCTTTCTAATGTATTCATTCCTACTTTCACCTATACTAATTACTTCTACTTGTTCTTTTGCTAATGTCATATATATAATCCTAATTAAATTATACTTCAAATTTTATCTTATTTAGCACTAACACAGTTTTAGGATATGGATTGTGTTATAGTACACTTTGGGGAATATCACAAAGGTGTTGATATATGCTGTTCTAATTTTAATTATGATTTATAATCTAAATATTCTATAATTGGAAGTTTGATAGTTTGTATTGTACAGTAAGTGGTTTGTAAATTTTATTTTTTAAATGGCCTGTCTTTTTATTTGTAAATACTTGTTAGATTTATTATAAATACATATGAGATTTATTGCAAAGTAATCAGAAGTGACAAACTTTATATTTGTCACTTCTAATTACTTCATCTGAAGAGACAAACTTCAGATGATGTATATGCTGATTTTTGTATATTTAATGCATTAATTTTCAAAGATTTTTTCTTCAAATTTGTCTTTTTACATATTAAACCATTCTTTTAATGTGTCTATGTATAAAAATAAAATATTTTAAAAAATTTAGTAATATGCTTGTCTTATAAGTTAATTAACTCTATATAACAATTGAAACAAAATATACAGAGAAAATTTTAATTTTTCTCCTTCACCCTGATTTATATTCAATATAAAACAGTTATTAATATTAATACATATTTTAAATGGTCAGATGTACCCATCAAATCAAACTTTCTGGTATTTTGAGTTCATGAGATTTTTGTTATTATTATTTTGTTTTGTTTTCCTAATACTTTTACAAATGATACAGGTTTTAGGCATACAATTCTACAATACATCATCTGTGTTTTGTGCTCACCAGCACAAATCGAGTCTACTTCCATCAGCATTTACTCCCCTTCACCCTCTTCTCTTTCCCTCCATTCCACCATCCCTTTGGCAAGTATTTTAATTTTATTGGAGCCGAGTTCTTTTATATAGTTTACATTCTATCTTAGTACAGTTTTGTTTTGTTTAGGGAATCCTATAACTTAGAGTAATACACATATTTTTCTATATCCTCTTTCAAAACTCTTAAAATTATGGTCTTTATGTTTAAGTCTTTTTTTTTGTTGCTGACATTTTTGTCTTTATTTCTGTGTATATGCATACAAAACATACAGCTAAAACAGTACTTCCATTTTTACATCCTAATTTTTACTTAATGTTGTATCTTAAGCATTTCTCACACATCTTTATATATCTTTTTTATCGTTGTTCAAATACAGTTCTCTACATTTTTCCTCCACCATGCCCCTCCCCCACCCATCTCTGCCTCTCACCTAATTCAATGGCAATAAACATTTGGAATAGTATGAAGATCAGAGACTTTTTTCTTTTCTTTTTTCCACATTAATAACTAACAATCATGACATTATTTTCTGAATGCTGTACATTTTACCATTTTTAATTCATTCAATTGATATTTTTTAAACATCTGTTAAGGGTCAGTCACTGTTTCAGTATGACATTTATATCACTAAAAATATTAAGGCACTCAAAATACATCAGTGAACAAAAGAGAAAGAACGCTGCTCTTAATGGAGATTTTGTTTTTGTAAAGGGAAACATATAGTAAACAGCAAATAGCAAATTATCATGTAGAAAAAGTCAGAGGGGTTAAGTGCTATGGAAAATAAAAGTAGGCTAAGCTAAATGAGAGAGTTGAGATTGTGATAAAGATAGAATTCTTGAGACAGGCATCACTAAAATATAACATTTAGGCAATTAGCTGAAAGATGCATGTTTCTAAGGAAATAATATTATAGATAGAACACCCAGTTCAAAAGTCTTAATAGAAGAAAAAAATAAGAGGACAAGGTGTGAAGGACAGAAGGAAGAAGTAGGAGAGAACTGGAAAACAAGGTATAGGATGACATGGAGAAAAGAGGTTGCACTAGATCATACAAATCTTTTAGGCCACTGCAGAGGTGTAGGCTTTTACTAAGTAAGATGGTAGTCCCTGTAGGATTTATAGCCAGTTATGAGTTTATCTGGCTGCATTTATTTTATTATTTTATTTTATTTTTAAAACATTTCAAATTTTATTTAATTTTTAAAGATTTTATTTATTTATTTATTTATTTATTTATTTATTTATTTATTTATTTATTTATAGGGGAGAGGAGCAGAAGAGGGAGAAAATGGAGAGAAACATCAGTATGTGGTTGCCTCCTATTGACTCCCTAATGGGGACTCGGCTCTCAATCCAGGCAAGTGCCCTGACTGGGAAATGAACTAGCAAACCTTTGGTTCACAGGCTGGTGCTCAATCCACTGAGCCACATCAGCCAGGACTAATTTATTTTATTATTTTATTTTATTAATTTTATTATTTTTGGAATGAAACAATGATAGAATGTTTTATTTTTTCAATATTCATTCACGAAGTATGCACTAAGCCTTACCATGTGCTAAGTGCCATGTTCCTTGCATGTTATACAATACAAGTTGCAATTTATTCGTAAGTGCTAAGTTTCTTTCTCTCATTTTTTAAAAGATAAGCATGTTTTATCATGTATGATATTACAGTTTTCCCAATTTTTCCTCCACATGGGGAGAAAAGTTACTAAATGAGCTTTAATGCTTTAATAACAGGTATTTATTTTACAATTATAATCACTTTTATACAAACTTAAAGTAACATACAACGTTCTTAAATTATATTAAATAAGTACAGATTTATAGATCTTCTGATTCTAAGTAACAAATGACTTCTAAATCAAAATAAGTTTAGACAGTTATTCATGGAGGAAAGGTAGCACTTTGCCTTTTAAAATATAGACCAAAGATCTCTTTCAAATCTCAGCAAGGACAAGCTTATAGTAAATCTTTGATTTAATTTTGTATTTCTTATTTAATGATATTCATTGATTTTTCTTTAAATAAAATTGCATGTAGTTAGCATAAAATAAAAATGCTAACTTATCTTGAAAGTTACCTGGCAAGCTTTGGCCAGATACATATATGCTTCCTGAGCAGTAATAGATTCTTTTCAGTATATCAGTCTGTTATAACTACAATTCCTAGGTCCTAGATATGTGACTAAGTTTGCACATATTCAAGCAATAACAACATCATCATAACCTTTTTCATCCCTTAGGTTTCACTTTAATATGGGTTTTAAAATCTATCCTCTTTCAAGTCTTCTTTCTTCACACCTGTAACTCAATATTCCACCACGTCAATCCCACCCTTTACTATTTTCATGTCATTGTAAATTCTTCACTGGAACTATTTTTCTAACTTCTTTTTAAACTCTGTTGGCTTAAAATTCATCTCAATTTGTTGTCTTGTCTCATTAATCATCAAGGCCATGCTTCTTCAATGTGCATAAAAAGAATTTTTGTAGTAAAATTTTACTCTGATTTATGGAACTAATTTGAAAGTACTTTCATCTGTCTCTTATATGCTATATTTACTTTTTCTTCTTTTATGGTATAAAATTTCTTCATAAGAAGAATTATATTTTAGTTTTCTTTGTTCAAATATCTATTGCCCAGACCTAGCAAAACCTACTAGTTAAGTAACTGGACAGCAGGTGGGGTTCTCTGCCTACCAACAGGCAAACTCTGGAGGCAGAGGTTTGGTGAGAAATGAAAGGGGTAATTTAATAAAATAATGGGAGGGAGGTGGGGAGCACTGGGAGGTAGGCTGGGATGGGGGTAAAAAACAGAAAACTGTACTTTAACAATAATTAAGCAAATTAAAAAATAAAAATAAATAAAAATTTAAAAATGATACAATTTTGGAACAATGAGTGGCTTCTACCTCAGAGCCCATTCCTTCTAAAATACCCAAGGAAAAATAACCTTGCAATCTTTTGTCAGATTAGTTCAAAGTTGTGCCTGTAATTCCTTCCCCCATCTAAAATACCATCCTTTGGTAAATACAGGTGTCTGAAGCACCATCATTCAGGTGGCTTAGCTGGTTCCTGGTTGTAGTCTTGGTTTAGGCACCATTCTGGAGTTTGTAGGCCTGTGAGGGAACAATCACCTCACCTGCTGCAGCTTCTTCCCTTTCCTGGAGCCCATGGGCACTGCTAGACCACTGAAGCTGGTAGTGCAGGGGCTCTCTGTTCATGTACCCAAGGCTACTAGCATGTCTAGGGCTTGCAAGCTCTCTGGCCCTCATGTCCATGTGCTAATCTCAGAATGAGAGAAAGGGCATAATCCAGGGCCATCCATGTGGCACAAAACTGCAGTATCCTGTGGGATGCTGCCAGGGCAAACATACCTGACGTGTGGCTCTCTGAGTACCACTTGGCCTCCACAATCTATCTCCTGACTGGATGAGAGAGGGAGTGCACAAGGAGCGAGAGTTTGCCCACAATCCATTTAATTCTCTGGCCCCAAATCCCATGTGCTGCAGATGCACTTGTCCTACACTGACAGGTCTGCCCCTTCTCTGGCCACCATGTTAACCTCCATGATACATGTGTGCTGTGACATTTTCAGCCTGCCTATACTCTGTGCAAGCTTTCTCCTCCTGTGTCATGAACCACACTAGTTTGTTAATCCTTACCGGAAGTAGGGAAATCTACAATGTGCCAACTGGGATTTCAGTCCCTCCGCCTTCCGCACTTACTGTCCACCCCCAGCTTCAGGAAGAACAGGATCTCATGCCACTCTGTGGTCCCTTCCAGCTCCCCAGCGGTCTTGCTAGAACTGCCCTGTAACAGTTATTTCAAAGGATTTTCTGATTTCTTGTTGACTCCCCTTCTATAATTATCTGGGTACTGTTAAACATCTATATTTTTACTTTAATGTGAAGGTCTAAATTATTTAGATTTATATTTTTATTAAATATATTAATTTAGCTTGACAATAGCATGAGGTTATCACTGTTCAGTAAGGGAACTTTATATCTGCATTTTGTTTTCTGGAAAGTCCATAGCCAAGTAATTTTCTGTTGGGTAAAGATGGATTAATTTTCTTGAACTGTATTAACCAACAAAGGTAAAAATGACTCTAAACACAGGAAGAATTCTTGTCTTAGTCATTATCTCCAGCTTTTCTGATATTTTCTTTGTTATCTCCAATTATTTGTCTGAACTACAGGGTAAAAATGTGACAAAGAGCCACGCTGAACTGCAGTCAATGTTTAATGTGAATGAAAACTTAAATGTTTGTTGTCGTAAGTCACTAAGGTTTGGAGTTCTTTATCATTGAAGTCCAATCTATCTGAAGTAATATCTGTGTTGAAGAGGATATCCTCTACATTTTCTTTATTTGGTTACATGACTTTTTTTAAGGAAGGAATTTAGATGTGATCAGGTACATTCAGGGTGGTATGGCCACAGACTAGGGAGGAATTTAGGAAAACTTCTTTGCTACCATCCCCCACCCCATGAATGTGTTCAATTTAATTTAATTCAGCAATTAAGTTAAATAAATTGAAAGATATTTCTAAATTTAACCTGATTTAACCTATGTTTGTGAATATATTTACTCCAAATATAAGAAAATACATTGAAATGATTTTTATTTTGTTTATATCTAATTTCATCTAGATATCAGTGTACTATCTACCACATTTCTGACATTATTTTAGCCCAATTTTCTTCTAACTTCATATTACATCCTTTTTTATTCTCCACCATGATATTTCCTCTATATTCATGCTAAAGAAATAAGTCATCCAAGCCCTGGCTGGTGTAGCTCAGTGGATAGTGTGTGGGCCTGCAAACCAGAGGATCGAGGTTCGATTCCCAGTCAGGGCACATGCCTGGGTTGCAGACTGCTCCCCTGCAGGCCAGTTTCCAGCAGGGGATGCACAAAAGGCAACCATACATTGATGTTTCTCTCCCTCTCTCCTCCCCCTCTATAAATAAATAAATAAATAAATAAATAAATAAATAAATAAATAAATAAAATCTTAAAAAAAAAAGAAATAAGGCATCCAGGTATAAAGACCAATGTATAAGCTGTATAAGCAATTAATCCACTGTGTTAAACTGCAGAACTATAAGGTTCAAATAGATCATATCTATAAGGTTCAAATATTTTTAAACAGAGAAGTAATTGACATTGGCTTAAATTGTCAGACCAATCAGAAATGAGTTAATAAGTCTGAAGGTGAGCAATCAGAAAACCAGTGAGTGGGAGCATAAAATGTGTTAATCTGTCTCTGGTGGTCTGGATCTTTGTTACCCCAGTAGATGGAGAGCCTCAAATACCAAATGTTTGAAAGTAAGGATTATTTGAATAATGTCATTTTCTTTCAATGGCCACTGAAAAAAATGTGTAGCTACTCCATAATAAAACATATTTTGAAATATGAAGAGGGACATATATGTTAGAAGGATATTGTGCAAGGATAATTTCCATTTTAGGATATGTTCAACTGCTCCTGACTCCAACAATTCTGATAAAGAGAACCAAGTCAACAGTTAGCAGCAGTATCTGTGCTACTAAATTTTGAATTTAATTATATGTATCTTTAAAAAGTTAATGATGGATATTTCTGTGCTACCACTTGTCTGGATTGCTTTCATGTCCCTATATCACAAAAACACTTCTTCTCATCTTTTAAGATTTAGTTTAGTCAAAATTAGAAAAAACTCTTTTGTGCAACTGCTGTATTCTCATGATGGGATTGACTCTTTTGAGTTATTGTCATATTTTATTATTATTAGAATGTAAACTCCTAAGAAGCTCATGGTGCACAGTAAGTAAAAGTTTATAGAATGAATAGAAAGGAGAAAGATTATGTTAGGTAGTTTGACTCTAATAACAATGAAATTTGGTAGTCACAAACTGAATTGACAACATCTTAGAGGGATAATTAAATACCATCATACCTCAACCAGATTCACTAAAACTAAGAAATGAAGGAACAAAAATAATGCCATATACTGTTGAGTGTGTAGAACTACTGGAACCCCTCACACACTGCTGGTGTGAATGACAAATGGTATATCCAATTTGGAAAGAACTGTGACAATTTCTTACAAAGTTAAACATCATCATAAAACTCAACAGTCCCACTAGAAATTTACCATCAGAAATAAAAATATAATCTCCACAAAGATGTATAAACAGATATCTATGACAGTTTTATTTAAAAGAGCCAATAATTAGAAATAATCTAAATGTTCATTGACTGGTTAAGGGAATTATGGTATATACATACAGTGTAATATTTAGACATAAAAGACAACATAGTGGTGGAATTTTAAATTGGTGCAACCACTATGAAAAACATGATTGTTCCTCAAAAATAGAACTATCATAGAACCTAACAAACCCACTTTCAAATATTTATCCAAAGAACTCCCAAACTTTAATTTGAAAAGATATATCCAACCCTATGTTAACTGCAGCATTGTTTACAATAGCAAAGATATGGAAATAACTTGTGTCCACCAACAGATAAATGAAGAAGAGACAGTACATATACAAGGTGGAGCAAAAGTAGATTTACAGTTGTTTATATGGAAAACAATACAACAATGAATAAATAATAAAGAAATAAAATCTATGTTTCATGTATTCACAACTGTGAATCTACTTTTTTCCACCTTCTATACAATGCAATATCACTCAGCCATAAAAAAATGAAATTTTATAACAACATGGTTGGACCTAGAAAGTATTATGCTAAGTGAAATAAATCAGACAGAGAAAGTCAAACACCATGTAATTTCACTTATATGTGAAATCTAAAACAATAAATAAACAAACAAAACAGAAATGGACACATAGCACAGAGAACAAACTGATGTTTTCCAAATGGGAGAAGGATTGGCAGAATGGATGGAAAAAAGAAAGAAATTAAGAAGTACAAATTGGAAATTGTAAAAACTGTCCCAGATATGTAAAGTGCAGAATGAGCAATATAGTCCGTAATATTGTGATAACTATGTAGGGTGTCAGATAGGTACTAAACTTATTGAAGTGATCATATTGGAAGTTATATAAATGTCAAATCACTATGGTATGCAATTGAAACTAATATTATATTGTATGTCAACTGTAGTTAGCAATAAATAAAATGTTTAAAAAGGAAAATGCAAATTAAATGAATAATAAATAAATAATAAAAATGAGTAATTTCAAATGAGACATGAATCCCAGTAAAACTCATAGCAAAAAAGACCATATGAAAACATTAATGTGATACCAAGTATCCTTTTTAAACTAATAAAGCAAAAAACAATGATGACACAAGTATGGAAAGAATATAGAAAAATCAACATTCTCACAGATGTCTAGAGACAAGGCTAAATTAATGCTTTCTAGTGGGCAATTTGTATATTGCATCAAAAAATTTTAAAGCTTTGCATTTCCTTTGAACACAGTTTTATTTTTTGCAAATTATCTTAAAAATAAAACCACTGTATAGCCATGAGATACTGGGATGCATGAGGGTAATGTAATTATCTACACAGAACATAATGATATCCCAATTAAGATTTCTATCCAGAGTAGGGAAGGGTGAACTATAATCATTTTAACATAGGTCATGGTGGTCTTGGTCAGGGTGAGATAAATTCCACTTGGCAGGCCAGATGAAATTTTGCTTCAGTAAACATTGTTAGTAATATAGCTTATTATTATATCAGTGGTATATCTGCCCTACTCCCAATGGTCCCCATTTTCTTTTTCATATATACCACCTTCTAACACTTTCAATAATTTACATATTTATTATTTTATTATATGCTTCCCCCTCATAAAAGATAATTACATGATTTTATTGAGATGGCATGTTAGAAAACACAAAACACTAGAAACAGAATTAAGATTGCCATCAACACCTCTCAGGTGTAGAAAAGCGGTTAATTAAAAAGGGGTATGAGGTAATGTCTTTAATGTGATGGGGCTGCTTTATATTTTGATTATGATAGTAGTTAAAAAAAACTGCATATTTGCTTTACTTTCCTCCCTAAGTGAGATAAAATGTCCTATGCATTCATTATTTATTTACATTCTTTCAAAGCTAGAGTTAGCTAATATCAACAATAAAATTTCCAGAAAATTCACAACTTGAGTGTCTATTTTGTGCCAGTATTATTTTGCGTTCCAATGCTCTCAGTCACTTAAACAACACCAAAAGTTATCATTATTTCCTTTCTACAGATAACATATCTACAATCAAATAATTTACAAATGTTGTAATAGGTAGGTATTGAAGCT